CCCGCGGAAGGCACCGATGGGTAACACGTCCCGGGCGTCCCCGGGTGGGTGGGGACGGGGCTTGGGGCCGGGATGGAGGGGCTGGGGCGCCCCCGGGCTGTTACAGTCTGCCTTGCTGCCTGCCATTGCCAATCCCGGGCGTGGGGCGTGGGGTGGGTGGTGGGTGTGTGCCCCTGGGCCGGGAGGGAGGGGAGGAGGGAACGTGGGGAGGCTTTGATGTTTTAAGGGTCTTGGGCTGGAAGTTACATTACGGGTGGCCGAGGCTCACTTGAGTGGAATGGGGAGCACGAGGTGTATGTAGGCTGGGAGGAGGTCAGGGTCATTGGGGCCCTGGTTTTTTGTTGGGGTGGTCCTGGGAAGGGGAGCTAGAGGCTCTGGCTCGCCAGCCCTCCATCCTTGGCCCAGCAGCTTGGCAGGGGCTGCTGTGGGGTGGGGGCCATGCCAACTGCTCCTCCTTTCTGCACAGGTGCTGGGGCTCGTGAGGGTCCCACTCTACACCCAGAAGGACCGAATGGGGGGCTTCCCCAACTTCCTCAGCAATGCCTTTGTCAGCACCGCCAAGTGTCAGCTCCTCTTCGCCCTCAAGGTGCTCAACATGATGCCCGAGGAGAAACTGGCAGAGGCCTTGGCCGCCGCCACTGAGAAGCAGAAGAAAGCCCTGGAGAAGCTGCAGCCAGCGTCCTCCTGAGGGCCCTGCCAGGCTGTGTTCCAACCCCTCCCCCTAGGCCCCTGGGACTGTCTCCTCGTGTGTGTGTCTGTGTGTCCCTGCCTGGGGCCAGTGGGCAGCAGTGGACCAGCTGGAACTCAGGTTTGCAGGGTGGGGTCCAGGCTCTTGCCCACCCTGCCGTGCTTGGTGGGTCTGTCCTAGGCAGGTAGAGGTCTCGGGCATTATAATCCCCAGGTATCGCTGCCACACTTGGCCCTTCTGTGGACAATTTGTTCCTGTGGAGGACACCCTTGTCCAGGTAGACCCTCTCCCACACACCCCCGAGTCAGCCCCAGAAAGCTGCTGTACTGTTTGTTTGCGGGGAGGCTGGGCTTGGGTCCTGAGGGCAGTCAGGCTGCTGTGTGGCTTATTGACAACACAATAAAGTAGCTCCCACTGCTCTCTGCTGAGCACCCGTGCTAGCAGTGCCTCTCTTCTTAGCAAAGCTGCTCTGCGGCAGCCCGAGTGTGGCCTCAGCTCAGGGCAAGGGCAGCTGCTGAAGACTGCCACTAGAGAGGCCATGAGGGTGCAAATGGGGCATTTCAGAGCTCGTGCTGGCCAGAGAAAGCCCGGCCCGGCTCAGCACGGGCCGGACATTAGGCCCCCACCCCACCCCACCCCAGAATTTGTGTCCTCTGACCAGAGAGCTGAGCCTCTCACCAGCTGATTTAAATTTTATTTTCCAGCAAATGATATGTGCTGACCAGGGGCCCCGCCATGCCCACAGGTTGAACCTGAGTCTGGTGCCTGTGGCGCTCGGCCCCGTCCTGGGCCAGGGCTGCACCCAACTGGGCCTGAGTGCCCTGTCTGCTTCAGCGCCAGCCCCGCCTGCCTTTGTCTCTGCTCCTGGGCCGGTCCTCGGCCCCCTGGGCCACCACTGCTCCTTCCCCAGCGTCCTCCTGGCACACAGCTTCAGGGTGGAACAGTCACCCGCCGTCAGATCCTGGGAGGAAGAGTCCTGTTAGCGGAAGGGAGATGGGTACTGCCGCTGCCCCGGCAGAGCCCCCCAGCAACTGCACTCACTGTGTCCAGCTAGGGCTCCCGCCAGCGCTGCTTTCCACTCAGCACCTGCAGCTGCTCGAGGCTGTGGGTTACTGAGCACAGCACCTGCCCTGAGGAGGGGGCGAGGGCACTCAGCGTAGGGCAGCTGGAGCCTGCCCACGGCATGCTCACTGCCCTGAGACTCACCCATCTCCTGGATGCGCTCCTCCAGGGCTCCTGACAGCTCAGGGAGGCTCATGGCCTGCAGGGACCCCTGGCAACCTATGGGGCACAGGCTGTGGGCCTGGGCTACTCAGCTGTGCCCAAGGCCCGGGGTCTACTCGGCCTCAGGTGTGTCCCCTCCTCCCAGCTGCCCGCCCTGCGGGAGGTGGCTCCCTTACCAGCAGCTGATCTGACTGGGCCCAGGGCCGTCGTCCCCTGTGGGGACACGTTTGGCCTCACTCTAGCCGACAGCTCCGCTTGGCAGGCCCTATAGACACCAAACTGCTGCTGAGGGGTTCCTGGGATTCTGCAGTGCCCCAGAGCCACCCCCACCCGGGTAGAGCTCACCTGAGCTGGTCAAGGATGAGGGTGGCATCCCCGGCCAGAGCCACTGTCTGCTGCAGCTGGGTGTGCGCAGCCTGGCTGGCCCGGTCCTGCTCCAGGAGGCAGCCCTCCACCACAGCCCGCAGCTCCTGCTCCTGCGATACCTGTCCCCGCACGGCCTCTACCTCCTCACAGCGCTGCAGCAGAGGGTGAGCTCAGCTCTGGACCCCTTGTGCCCTCCCAGCACTACTTGGCTTCGCCGGCTCCCCAGGCCCCTCTGGGTGGGGGGTGTCACACACAAACACCCCTCACCTTGTGTAGCTGGAGGGCCAGCTCCTGCATTTCAGCCTCCAGCCGGTCGGCATAGGCCAGCTCCAGGGCATCTCCGGGGGGCCGGGCACTGCTGTGCCAGCGGGCAATGGCAGAGGTCATCTTTCTCTTGGGCCCAAACAGCCTGTGGGTGAGAGGGCAGGGGCCCCTGTCTGCATATAGCCAACCCATGGCCCTGAGGACAGGCCAAGCTGAGGGAAAAGCCAGCCCTTATGCCAGTGCCTTCCCATCAGCCAAGTCTGGAAGTTTCCACATGTGACCTGCTGGTGAACGTGAGGCCCCTAAACACACCGGCCCTGCCCGGCACTTACGTGATGCCGATCTCCTTCAGGTCACTCTCAGTGAGGGTCAGGAAGATGCGCAGGTCCACGTCCTGCTCCTCAAACACCTGCAGGTACTTCAGACACCCAATCTGCTCCAGCAGTGAGGCCAGGTCCTAGGGGGGATGGCCAGGGCGGCTTGGCAAGTAGCACGTGGGCTCCACGCCATCTGGCCACACAGCCCCTGGGGCCCCGCGGGGCCAGCACAAGGGGCTCGTCCCTGTGACTGCAGGTGGAGAGAAAGCGGGGCACTGGTGTTCTTTGATTTCTAATGGGAAGCAGGAAGGACCCTTGTACGGGCAAGTTCTTCCTCTTCAAGATTCTGTCAATCTTGACAGCCTCACTCACTGACTGTCACTGCCATCGAGCCAACTGACTCAGTGACCCTCCAGGGCAAGGAAGACCTGCCTCTGGGTCTCAGTCACTATGAGAGCAGAAAGCCTCATCTTTCTCCTGCAGAACACCTGGTGGCTTCAAACTGCTGGCCTTGCCGTTGGCTGCCCAAAGTATAGCAGTACACCATGAGTGCTATTTCCTGCCTCACAAGCCCCAAAGAGGAGCCTGTGTCCCATGGGTTGCTACACATCAGAATTGACTCGCTGCTTTGTGTAGACGTAGCCCTGAGTTTGTCTTTGAAGCTGCTGGTGGTTCTTGGATGTGCTGGCTCACATCTTTCATCACACTGGGATGTTTCTTCCGTCTTCTTGCTGTTCCCCATCTTTTGGATCCCCTGTCAGCCTGCCTGGGGATCTGACAATTCTCTTCTGCTCAAAACAGCTGGGCAATGTTCCAGTCATCACACACTCTGACTCCAGTATACCTATCTCTAGCCGGGTCTCCCACCAGGTGAGTGATCCTTCACACTTCCCTCTTACTCTCTGAACACACAAGTCTTAGTTCAGCCCACCATGGATGCTGCCCTCAAGGGACCACTTCTGTGGGTTGTGTTTGAGCCATACTTGGGGTTTTTTTTTGCTTGCCTTGCACCTTGGTGGAGCCCCGGGCATTTTACAGAACAGAGGACAGCAACTGGCCATCCCCAGCTCCAGCTGACTTGTTAGTGGGTTATTTTTTAAATCATTCTGTAAGGTCTGTGTCCTGTGTCACATAGGATGACTGGAGACACTGCCCAGTTGCTTAGTGGTCAGCTAACTGGTCCAAGACACACCTGGAAGCAGCCTTGGCCAATGGGCTGTGAGTGTGTGGAGGGGAGCTCAAAGGTTGGAACTCAGGGCCCGGTCTAGTCTTTCCTGAGCATGTGCATGACCCTGTAGGTATATGGCAGCCTTTCAGTGTGCCAGGAATATGTATCCCTTGAACATCAGCTCCCAGTTTCCTCTTAAGCCTGTTAGTTGGTCGTCTATTACTTGCTTCAGCTGGTACCTAGTGCCTTGGGCATCTGCAGAGAGGACACTTGTGTGCCCTTATTTCCACCCCAAGGAGAAGGCTTGCTTTCGGTGTGGGATGGATGGACAAGTCAGGGTCAAGACTAAGAGAGCTATGATAAGTCACAAAGCACCTCACAAATCCCACAAAGTACCTTCACCCTTACCTGAGGTCCTGAATGAGGGAACCTTTGGGTCTGGGGGGCAGATCCTGGGGGACAGGCAGTCCCAGACGTCCCAGTGCCAGGTGACCACTGGTGCTCGCTGTTGCTGTTACGGCTCTTGGTTTTCATGTAGCTTTTTGTTTGCTTGCGAACCGAGCTTTGACGGACATGGTCTGAATCCTGCGTGAGGCGGCACGTGTCGGAGGGAGCTGGGAGAACCACCAGCTGTGTCCAAACCCTCCCTCTGCCCCACAACTAGCTTGTGCCTTTCCCCGTCCACCACACAGACATCCACCAAGCCCAGGCAGTGCTCCTAGAGCGCGGTAGCACAACCCTGCTTCTCGAGCTGTGAGGCAGCCCTTGCCACTAAGAGGAGGGGAGGTGGAGGAGACTGCTCACCTCGTTGCTCTCCAGGGAGGCCTCGCTGCTGAGGCCCTGGGCCCTGGCCAGCCTCTCACTGCTGCTGCTCCGGGCTGTCCCACAATGGGCACAGAAACCATGCTCTTCTGGTGATAAAGACCGACACTGATCACTGGCCTCTTGTGACCGCCCCCCCAGCTACTTAAACTGTGGGAGATTTCCTTCTGGGCAGTGATGCCTGTCCCACCCTCATGTGCGCATGTGCGTGCACACACATGTACACACACACCTCCTGCTCTGAAGCCCCGAGGACCATGCTGGGCACTCTTAAGTTGCTGAATGAGTGGACACATGTTATTCTAACAGATGTTCCCCTCTGAGATATGTGCCTTGTAAGCCTGAGGGCCGCAGGTTCAGGGGCCGACCTGTGTTCAGAGGGCGGCTAAGACTCCACGTCAGTCTGTGGTTTCCCTCAGCACTGTCCCTACTGCTACCTGCTGAGGGGGGGACGGGACAGTGAGTGTGGGCAGGCGGTGCTCACACCTCTGCTGCTGCCGCTGCTGCTCTCCACGTCCCGTTCATTGATAGGGGAGGTGACGTCCCGGTAGCAGAGGCTGCCCCCTTCCAGGGGGTTCTCGTCACTGCTGGTGAATGTGACGTAGCCCCGGGGAGGCACCTGCTCTGTGTAGAGAGGGTGGCATGAACTTATCAAAACCGCCGTCCCTGCCGTGCTGACCCCTCTGCTCTTGTCCTTTGCCTGACCCCCACCCCACCCCCACCCCCGACTGCCATGCTTCTTATGCCAGAACGTATCAGGTAGTAAGCTGGCCTCCGACTCCTGAGCTAGAGAAAGTATCATGCCAGGTGGTGGCTTTCTTGGGAGCATCTCATACGCTACAGAGACTTGCAAACAGACTTCTTCCCCAGACTTGTAAACAGACTAAAGGCCGTGGCCTAGAGATTAACAGCAGTCACAGAACTGCCCACATCTTCCGTGTACCTGCCCCCAGGAAAATGGACAGCACACCAAACGAGTAACAGCTGATGTGCTTCGCTCTTAGGGCAGTTCCCCACAATTGCCTGCTCCAACCTCGTGCTCCCAGTTTGGCGGTGTTGCTGTGAGCAGCCTGCTGTGCTCACCCTGGGCATCGTGGCCTGAGGTCGGCTGCTGCCCAGGCACACGGCCTGTAGGAAAAGCTGGTCCCTCCTATCGCCCCCTGGCCACCACCACACACCTCCGGGGTGGGGACGGGAAGCATGGGCTTGGCCCCCAGGCTGTGAGCTCAAAAGTACACCAGACAGGACACCCTGAAAGACAGCTTCCTAGTAGTGGTGGAGGGAGCTTGTCCAGGCTATCCACCTGAGGCAGTAGGAGGGGCTCTGTCAGGGGCTTGAGTGTCTCGGCCTCTGGGGCCACAGTCCTCCAACGAAGAAGGAGGCGGGAGATGTCCCACAAGGCAGCAGTGGGGCTGCCCCGGAAAAGGGCACAGAACCCGAGCCCTGGCAACTCAGGGCCTAGGCCCCGGCACTGACCCGGGACTGCAAAGGTCACCTTTCCTTGGGCTATGTGAACCCACTCCAGGCGTGGCTGGCAGTGGGCCACTCACCGCGGCAGGGTTGCGCAGTCCTGGCCCGGGGTCCGAGGGCGGTGATCCTGGCCAGGGCGCGCGGCCCCTCGTGGATGCTCAGGCCTTTCTTGCGGCCCAGCCGCTGCCTCCGAGGAGCAGAGCAGGACTCATCGGACGAGCTCAGGTCTTCAGCTCTTTCTGGGGGTCAGACACCAGAGCGAGGGAATTGGCTCTGTGACAGCAGGCACGCTCTGACTGTCTGGGAAGAAAAGGGGTGGGGCCCTGGGCGCCCCGAGAGGGGTGCCTGCTGGGTGGAGGGCCACTTTCCTGTCTTCTCTGTCCCAGAGGCACTGACGTGCTTTCGGTCCAGACTCAAGGGTCGCTGACGAGGAAGAGCTGGCCTGTGAATCGAAGCTTCTCCATGAGCTAGCCTGTACTTTCAGCCTGAACAGCAGTGGGAACAGAGGGCCTCGTACAATCCGTCATGTAGCTGCCCACCCAGTCCTGACCGTTCACAGCACAGCAGAGCTCCGACATTCTTCAGGTCTGCTCACATCCCCATCGGACTCAACTCTCACGAGACAAGACACATGAGGTGGCACCGAGACGCCTCATCCAGGAAACATCCTGGGAAGGGCCCCCTCACATGACACGCCCCTCCCCTCAGATCTCTCCTGCCTGCTCAAGGACTTTGTCAGCAGGAGGCCACTGGGGGCTGTCCACACAGGGGACAAGCAGATTGTTAAAACAAGCGAGCAAACAAAACCACCTGGACTGGAGAGGAATTCTGGGAACTGAGAGCAGACCTTCACCACGGCACTCTGCTACAAACAGGGTGAAACAGTGCCTGGCTTTGAGGGGCTGCAAGCCCAGCCGCTGCGGAAAGCAATGGGGGCCTGACGGCAGGGGCGCATGAGTCATCGTGTGTCATGTGGGAGGAAGTCACTTCTCTGGCCATCTCTGCTGCCTGACCACCATAGAAACCTGAAAGATAGCTTCTGGAAGTTCTTCCGGGAAGTGCTAGCCTCTCCCCCACCTGAAACCCAGGAGGGTCTGCCTGTGTTTTCCCTGAACAGCTGGGGCACAGGTTGCCTCTCAGAGCCCAGAGGATACCCTGAGCCAAACGGAGGAATAACACCCAGCCCTGGAGGGTGCTCGCTGGGTGTGAGTTCCTGACGTTAAAGGATGGCTCCAGAAAGCACAGAGAAGCAAGGCGAGGAGACTGGCCTGATGGACATGTTGACTAATACAGGGGATGTCGGCCCAGTGGCAGTGTTTGCTGGTGGACAGGCTGACCACAGCGTGTTCCGGGGTGGGGGTGGGGGGTGGGGTCAGAGAGTGACAGTCCAAAACTAAGTGCTGGAATTTCCAAAGTCCAGTTGAAGCAGGGTTGGGAGACGGAATGACCACGGAGGGAGAGTAAGCTGTGAAGGCCTCTGACCACAAGGACTTCTTACCAAGTCGACCAGTGGGCAAAACAAATCCTGAGAACTGAGAAAGATAACACCCTCAAAAACTCCACCACCACCACTCCCCCAACATCCTAAAATGCACACAGCTCAGAGAAGCGAGGGCCTGTGCAAATGGACATGACTGGGGATGGCATCTGCTGTGGTTGTGGTGGGGGCCCGTTAAGTTGGCCCTGACGCCTAGCAACCCCATGGACAGCAGTGCGAAACAGTGCCTGGTCCTGAGCCGTCCTCACAGTTGTTGCAGTCACTGTCAATCTGTCTGAACAGGGGCCTTCCTCATTTCCCTAGCCCTGCACTTTGACTAGGCATGGCGTCCTTCTCCAGGGACCGCGCCCTCAGTGCATTTGATGAAAAATCGTGAGAGTACCGGGGACTGCCAAAAGAACAGACGGCTCTGTCTTGGAAGAAGCACAGCCAGGATGCGCCTTAGAGGCGAGGATGGAGAGACTGTCTCAAGTACTTTGGACATGTCAGGAGAGAGAGCATATGTAGCGTGATCAAGTAATGAAAACAATAGAATATAACACAACACTACACATAACGAAAGGACAACGTGGGAATAAGGCTAATGATGCAAAAACAACTGAGGATATTGAAACGACATTGCAACTGAGAGGCACAGCAATTGAGCTAGGAAACAATCGAAGGACTTACCAACATATTTCAGCAGGTGGAAGACAGAGTCACCAAGCGAGAGGATAAGGCACTGAAAGGCAATAAGAATGGAGGCTCAAAGTAAACCTGAGTCGTGCGCATCCCAGGAGCAAGCAGGGGGATTCGGGGGCCCCCACTGAACTCTAGCCCCAATCAGAGAACAGTCAGTTATGATAACATGGCCCTCCCTACACTATACTCACCTTCATGTCATGATCACTGAAGATAAGGGTGCTACAGCAAAGTGTGCTGAAGAAAGGACCAAATATACTCATGAATAAGCCGAGTTTTTCAGCACATTTTCAATGCAGTTTTTGTGGTTAAATTAGGTGCCTTGGCTAATATCCGGGTTGGCTTATACTCGAGAATACACAGTAGATGGTGCCTGGCTATCCTTCGGAATAGTGTCTGGGGTCTTAAAGGCTTGTATTCAAACAAGCAGCTATCTAAACTAGGAGTCAACTAACCCCACACAGAAGAAGTACACCAGCCTGTGTAATCCAAAGACGACAAAGGGGGGCGGGGGGCGGGAGTATCAGAGTTAACATTGCGAACACCTACTTTGTATCAGAGCTTACATTGCAAACACCTACTTTGTATCAGAGCTTACATTTGGAACATTACTTTGTATCAGAGCTTACATTTGGAACACCTACTTTGTATCAGAGCTTACATTTGGAACACCTACTTTGTATCAGAGCTTACATTTGGAACACCTACTTCCATAGAAGGTTCTGGGGGACAGAGCCCAAAACTGATCAGCAGAGTATCTAGTCAATTTAAGTTGCTGGCAGATCCCCTCTAGCCACAGGCAAGAGTCTCAAACAGCCTTACTATAAGACATAGATCATGGTAATCTGGATTATGCTAGATTGAACTTGATACTTGGTCAATTGACCTCCCTCTTGACCTAATCTATAATTGCTCCAGGTGCAAGTATTTGCTTGATCCATGACAAAAATTTCTTCCCTGGCTTTTTAAATACTGATGGTGGCCTTTTCTTTCTTACTCATTATTTGTATTTTTAGCTTTATATTATTATGTTATCCTTACCATTATATTTTGTTGTTGTTTCTATTGGGTTTCATAGTTTGCGAAGCACAGAAAGGATCGACAGATAAAGATAAGAACTGAGGCAAGTGTTCAGAGGGGAGATAAGGAGGCCAGGGGTTTGGGAGAGCAAGCAATGTATGCGGAAGGGCAGAGGGAGCAGTAGAACTGATTGTGGGGGAGAAAAGGGGAACATTACAATGACTGACTCTAACACACACACCTGTGATGCACAAGAGTGGACGGTGTAAGATAGGAATCTAATTATAATCTATCAAGGGTTCATAAGGGTGGGGGAAGGAGAAAAAAATAAGCTGATACCAAGGGCTCAAGCAGAAAGAAAATGTTTTGAAAATGATGATGGCAACATATGTACAAATGTGCTTGATACAATGGATGTATGGATTGTTATAAGAGCTGTAAGGGCTCTAATAAAGTGATTTATTAAAATTAAAAACAAACTCTTTGTGATTACTCATTTTAAAAATGATTTAACCATGGGGGGGGGGGAGTCCTAAAATTGATTGTGGTGATGATTTTACAAATCTTGCTGTGATTAACTACTGAATTGTATATGTGGATAATGTGCCAATAAAACAAAACAAAAGAAATAGAGGCTCATGAAGGCTGCTTATGGAATCACACACAGATCACAGAAATTCCAGAATGTGCGAGCAAGGGAGTGAAAGACCACTGGAAGAAACCACAACCAGAGATTTCCTCCACCTAACCAAGGGCATGGAGGCCTGGCGATGCAGGAGTGAGGCGCTCAGCTGCTAACTAAAAGGTCAGCGGCTTGGCCCCACCTGGTGCTCTGCAGGGGCAAAGGCAGTCTGCTTCCAAGAAGATTCCAAACTCATGGCCATCACGTCAGTTCTGACCCACGGCCAACCTAGGAAACCCTCTTAGGCAGCTGTACTCTGTCCTATAGGATAAGTAGGAGTCGAACCCCGTTTACTGGCAATGGTGTACAGTGGGTTACCAAGCACTTAGGAAAGCTGGCCCATGACAGTCACCTGAGATGCAGCCTTCTTACACCTGTCATTTAATGTGAACCAACAGGCTCAACCCCCCAGACCAGAGTATGTACCAACGTGAAGACCGGCCTACTGCAACAATTCGACAGCATCTTCCACAAACCCCTGGGCGGGGAGCTGCAGCTTTTAGCAGTGGCCAGCTGCCCAGAGGCACCAGGAAGGGCTGCACGTGTACGCTGAGTAAACTCCGGAGGGATGAGCTTTCATCAATCAAGTTTGCCATAGGCAAAAAGTCCACAAGTAGCTGGCATTCACGCTATACAATTCCAGACCTAACACCTAGAGGAAGGCAGGCGTGAGGGTGAAGGGACAAGGGGTAACCACGTTCTGACGCAGCGCAAACGATGCACTGGGAGGAGAGGTAAGGAAGATGAAGTCCCTTCCTGTGCAAATGGCCAGGGGTCGGTAGACACTACAGCTAGTAAAGTGCGGCAGACTGCCAAAGAACAAACACATTTCTCTGTCGTGGCAGAAGTGTAGCCAGAGTGCTCCTTAGAAGCAAGGATGTCAAGACTTGGTCTCTTGGACTCTGGACATGTTGTCAGGAGAGCCAGTCCCTGGAAAAGGACATCAGGATGCTTGATTAAAGCAGCAGGGCAATGAGAAAGAGGAAGACCTCCAACATGGTGGATGGACACAGTGACTGCCACGATGGCTCAAACATAGGACTGAGGTGAGGATGTCATAGGACGGCATGGTTTCTTTCTGCTGTACATCAGGTCACTGAGTTGGAAATGACCCAAAGGCACATCACAGCAACAGCAGCTAGTTAATGACTTGGTGAGGAAACGGAAGCCCAGGCGATTGACTAGATGTGTGACCCATTTGTCACATCCCATGGGGGCCGCCACCACCTTGAGTGAGCCATCATGGGAACCCAGGGCTTCAGTTTGAGGCTGATCTACCAGCTGATAACAGCGTGCCTCATGGATGCGAGATGTTCATGAGAAACTGGGCGGTCAGGGAGGGGGTGCAGGGGAACCCTGCCCTTCTGCATGGAGAAAAATAACCACCAGCACAAATGAAAACCTCCCTAAGTCCAAAGAGACGTGTGGCGAGGAGAGGAGCAAAGCTTGTGGCTGAGGAGACTGGCAGACTACTGTCGCCTGGGGTCCAGTTCAACATCACGGGTTTACTGCAAACACATGTTTAAATGCATCCCGGGACCCGCGAGCGGCGTTCAGTTCAACTTCTCGGGTTTACTGCAAACACGTTTGAACATGTGATGACTGCAGCCCAGTTCTCTCAGTAACACACTTGTCTTGGTCTCATCAGGTGCCTTCAAAACACAAGGTCAATCAAAACAGTGGCTTCAGAGGGGGTCTGCAGGCCAGCTCAATTCAAGGCAGAGCCGTAGCTCCCAAGTTATGGGGACTGTTATGTTTTTATTCCAGAGAGAGGCATGTTTATAGGGACAAGTGAAAAGAGGCTGTCCACATTGGAAGGCGTCCATTTAACATCCTTAATAAAGCCCATAATTCTGTGTGGCCGTTGCAGTGCATTATGGGACCCAGCAGAGGGCGAGATGGCCATGGGAGGGGCAGCTGGTGTCAGAAGAGGGTTAAGACGACCAGAGGGTGGAGGCATGTCTGAGCCGGGGGCTGATGTGGCCTGTGAGTGTCCTCCCCCTTAGACGCTGCCCCTCCGTCCTCTGTTCTGGCGGCTGTTAGGCAGAGGACACATGAGAGTAGACAGAGAAGTACAGGCCTCAGAATGAATGGGAGCGGAGGGAGAATGTAAGGCCTCCTGCAAGATCAGCCTGAGAAACTCACAGTCGTTCAGCTGTGAAGGGACCCGGGTTGTAATGCCCCAGCTAGTAAGACAAGTGAAACAAAGTCTCTCTAATGACAATGGGCAGGTCTGGCGGGTGATGGGACCAGTGGACAGGACAGAGGATCTGGACACAGACCCAAGTCCTCGTGATGGTGATGGCACCCCCAATCACCGGGTCCAAGGGCCTTCTCACCCACTGATGCTGGGACAGCTGAGAGGCCATGGGAGAAAGAACCCCGGAGTCCAGCTCCCACACCGAGAGCCAGGCTGTACCTGGGCCCTGGGTCCCTGTCCCACCCTGTGTGAGCACAGCCACACTGCACCCCTCGTACCTGTGGGCTCAGCCTTGAGGTTCAATGGAATCAGCTGCAACCAAGCCTCAGAGGAGCAGGTGGGAGCCAGGGGAGGGGAGGGTGAAGAGGAGAGGCTGCCCAGGAAAAGGGTTGCCCACAGGTACCTGGACTGCGGTAGAGGCTGGCGGGCAGAGCCGGTGTGTGGGCATCAATGAGCCCCACAATCTTCATGTGTCCATACTGCTTGGCCAGCATGCGGGCTGTGGCACCACTATGGTCCCGCGTGTCCACTTTGACGCCCTGTGGGAGTTGGAAAGGGGGGAGTCAGACCATCTGGTGCCTTCGAAGCACCCTCAGAGAAGAAGCAGAAACCGCTGCTGGTGGTTGCACAGTATGGCAATTGTCACACTGTCCCTGAAAGGGGCGTGTAGGCACGGCTGCACACCATAAAGCAGCCCATCACGGAAGATGGCCTGTCTCGGCCGTGGAAGGGAATGGCATGCCATTTGCTCTGTGGGTGGCTTATGGCTATTTAAATGCGAGGTCAGGAGTTTGAGCCCACCACTCCTTGGGAGGATGACGAGGCCCTCTCCTCCCTTCAAGATTTGCACCCTTGGGAACGCTAGAGAAGGGCTTGACCTCATCCCTCAGGGTGCCCAGGAGTCAGAACAGACTCAATGGCAGCTGGTTTGGGCTCCTTTGGAGGCTCGACGCCATCTCAATGACTGGAAGCCGCGTGCAGCAAGTGCAGGGGGCGGTGATGAGAGTGAGTTAGCAGTGAACGCAGGTTCAGCAGATTCAAAGTGAGAGCAAATCTACATAATACTAAAGGGCTCCTGCAATTTGTTTGCAAGATGACAGTCGTCACCCAGAGACTGCCTGCACCATGGTTTGTGTTATCAGCTGATGGGTCATTTGCCTAATGTGGATAATGCTGTCACAAACACTCAGGTACGCATTTGGGTTTCTACGTCTGATTTCAATTCTTTAGGTACAAACCTGTGTGTAAAATGCTTGGTCACTTGACAATCGTGTTTACTTTTTTTGTGACACAAGCAGAGATAGCTCTCCACCACAGATGTACCAATCTGTGTCCCCATTAGCAGGGTCTCAGGGTTCCAGTGACACCCGGTCCTCGTGGCTGATGTTGGGCATTTCTTTCATGTGCTCCATGACCATTTGTAATCTTCCTTGGAGAAGTAGCCTCTCGAGTCCTTTGCCCTTGCTTTCATTGGGTTACTTGACTTCTTATTAGGACCCGGGGAGTTTCCAAGGAACCCTGATGGCACAGAGGTACACACTGGGCTGCTCACCACAGGCCAGCAGTTTGAAACCACCAGAGGCTCCAAGGGAGAGAGATGGGCTTTCCACTCCCGTGGTTATCAGAAACCCAGTCCACCAGGGCACTAGGAGTTGGAATCGACTTGGGGGCTGTGAGTGTGAGCTAGTCTGTGTGAGTAACAGCCATTCCGAGGGTTGACTCGCCACCCACAGCCTGTGTATTCCCTAGAGCACCGGACAGGGCGGGGCTTGCTCTTTAAGACCCCATGGTGTACCAAGAGCAGGCTTAGCTACGTACCCTCCACAGGGAGCTGGGCTCACCTGAGGCCTCATATCTAGGAGGTGACGTTTCAAGAGCTGCAGAATGCATATATGAACAAGCTTCTGAAAGTCCATGGGCAACTTGAATGAAAAGTTAATAGAGTTTTCCATGAGCTTTTGGAAGCCCCAGATGGTTTCTATGTGTGTGGGGGGGGCCATTCTGTGACAGGGTCTGCCTCGGCAATGTCGAACCCCCATTAGTAGCTGCGGCCAGGTTATACACTTGTGAGCTGGGCCACTTACATGGTTCAGAAAAGACTGCACAATGACCTCATGGCCAGCAGCTGCAGCTTCCATCAGCGGTGTGAACCCATACACTGGCTCCCTGCAAGACAGAGGCAAGTCAGAGCCTGAGGGAGTGAGAGTCTAGAGGGGCAGAGCCAAGAGTGGGGGCAGGAGTCCTGCCCCACACAAAACCTAGCCGGTGCCCACCTCACCACTCCCTGAAGGCAGGGGTGTCTGTCTGGCAAACAGGGACCACCATAGCCCAAAGCCACTCCGATGGCCCCCACTGGGGCCTGTAGTCTTAGGACAAATGTGTCCCCGTCTAGCCTCCTCCCAAGCTGTTTTCACCTGTTGCCTCCTATCTCCACTTCTTCATGCTCTGAACATAGCCTTGCCTCCTGATAGGCCCCCAAGAGCCCCCAGTGGCTCAATGACCCCTAGTCACTGACCCAAAAGCCTCTCTGCCAAGCTCAGTGTCCTCCTCCATTCCCCCCACCCCCACCTCCCAGTCACTGCTGGGTTAACTAGGACTCTGGCCACCCCACGGGTCAAAGGACTGTGGGATTCCCAGTGGATTTCCAGGTCTTTCTTCCAAGGTGCCTCTGGTGGACTAGAACCTGGTCCTTTGGAGAGCAGCCAAGCATGCCACATGGGGACATTGGTCAACTCCTAGCTGAGTGCTGACTCCCAGGGCTCGGTCCCAGTTCACGATGGGAGGCAGGTGCTTAAGATGCTTGGCTGCTAAATGAAAGGTCTACAGTCCAAACCTACCAGCCACCCTCAGGCAGACAGAAGTGGGTGGCCATCTGCTCCCAAGAAAACCAACAGCCTCGAAAGCCGTGGGGAGCTCTACTCCATCCTCCGGACAGATCAGACAATGGTCAGTTTGGTGTCTGGTTTGATACTTAACTCGGCACTGCCTTCAGCCTCATCCCCTTCCCCATCTCTGAAGGCCTGTGGTGGCCCTGGCCCCTGCTGTTGCAGTGCCAGCCTGGGTCTGCTGGCAGGCACAGGAAAGGGAAGGACTCTCCCTGGGCCCCATCTGTGTCACTGTGTTTGCCCCTGCCTATGCCAGGGTGCCCTGCTCACTGTGCACTCACCGCATGTCAGCATTGGCGCCGCTGTCCAGTAGGAACTTGACCATTTGCTGGTGGCCAGCACTGGTGCAGTGGAAGAGGGCAGTCCAGCCCTGGATGTCCTTCATTTCCAGCTCAGCACCTTGCTTTGAAAGGACACAGGTGCTCGTTACTGATGGCTGCCCCCCGGGAGGCAGCGGAGAAACCCTGCTCACACATGCTCGCTCACTGTTTGCTCCCACATATCAACAGCACAGCCGTCCTCTGGGTGTGAGGCTCCCAGCCTGGGCAGCTCACCTGGAGGAGGAAGTAGGCGATGCTCTCGTTGCCACAGCTGGAGGCCAGCATCAACGGGGTCTGTCCCTCTGGGGTGGGCACGTTCACACTCACGCCTGCCTCCAGCAGCAGGTGCACGATGGTGTCGTGGCCGATGTAGGAGGCATACATCAGCGGGGTCCAGCCACCGCCATTCTTCTTGTTCAAATCCAACTCCCTCCTAAACAAATGCAAGACGTGCTAGCCATTCCCTGCCAGCTCCCGTGGAGCGACAGGGAAGGGCTGATGGGAAGCGGTGCTATCTCCTGACCTGGGTACCTGGGGGCCCTGTGTTTCACAGGCTAGAGCCGAGCTCCAAGGAGTTTCCACCTGGAATCTCTATGGAGCAGATCGCCAAGGCCTTCTTCCTTAGCACTGGTCTGAATCATCCACCTCTGGCTGCCTGCTCTTCACGGCCTCCTTCTAGCTACCATCAAAGGGGGTTCTCACAAAATCTAGACTTTCTGGAGCCAAGGGGGTTGGATGAATCCCTAAAACAACTGTACTGGAGAATATTGTTCTGCCACAATCAGAAATAAAAATTACGTGAATTACAATGACTACAAGGCAGAAGAAAATGTTCTAGAATTGAATATGGTGACAATTGTACAACTCTTCTTGATACGATTGAATAATTGAATTACATGACATATGGATGAAGTGCCAATAAAACTGTTTTAAAAAAACTGTTCTGAGTTGATCTTAAAACGTAAAGACAGGTTTCAAAAAAAAAACAAACCAAAACATAAAGACCTCTCAAAACCAAGCAATCAGTCAGTCAGTCTCACGAGTACACGATGGCTGCCTTGAGCACCTCGTAAGCACTGTGTGAATTGGGTCACAGGAGCCCTGATGTCACAGTGCTCACTAGCTACTCCATGAGAGGCCTGTGTGGCCGTCTGCTTCCAGGAAGATTTACAGCCTCAGAGGTCCCAAAGGGCAGTTCTGTCCTGTCCTACAGTCTTTGTATACAGGAATCGCCCCGACAGTAATAGGTTGGATGGGATCAAAATGGCATAATAGCAACTTGAAAGTTTAGATAAGAATGTTGAAGGAAAGAAAACACAAAGAACTGAAAGTGCAGTGAGCTGGTGTGAAAGGCAGAAGACAACGCAAAGGCGGGTGAGGCCAACCCCCAGGACGATATTCCTGCTCAGAGCAGCTGGTGTACAGAGAGGACCACAGGGCCGGCCCCACCATGAGACACGACATCCCTCACGAACCCACAGTGCTTCCAGGGACAAACACTGGAGACCCAGCGAGGAACTGTGTCTGACCCCACCCCACCAGGACAAAACACTGAGGGTGTGCTACAGAGCAGCAGGGGAGCAAAGCAATGAAGTCCCCAGGGAATACCAAAAATAGACTTTGGGGCCAGGGTGTGGCATCCCACCAAACTCGACCAGAAAACACTCATAAAGGTCAACAAACAGACCTTAAACTATGTATAGGCTTTTCTTTTTATTTTGGTTGGCTTTTCTTTGTTGTTGTTTTCTTTTGCTCTGTCTTGTTTTTGTGCTTATTATTGTCTCTGCATGTCTATCTAGATAAGATAGACGGGATAAACAATCTGATGGTTGAGGGTGGGGAGGCACAGGAGAGGAGGAGGTGGGGTAAAGGAAGTAGGTGTTAACAAACCCAGGGACAAGGTAACAACAAGTGATCTAAAATCGATGGCAAGAAAGGCACAGGATACGTGGTAGGATCTGATCAAGGGCAATGTAACCTAGAGGAATTACTGAAATCCGAATGAAGGCCAAACATGATAGTGGGACAAGAGGTAAATAAAAGTAAACAGAGGAAAGAACTAGAAGGCAAAGAACATTTATAGAGGTCTAAATACAGGCATGTATATCTGTAAATATAGTTACATATGATGATGATAGGGAAATAGATCTACATATATTTATAGGTTTAGTATTAAGGTAGCAGATGGACATTGGGCCTCTAGTCAAGTACTCCCTCAATGCAAGAACACTTTGTTCTAATAACCTGTCATTCTGTGATGCTCA